GCGGGCTCGGTGTAGGAAAAATTTGGTTAATGAAGTTAGTTGTGTTTTTGGTTTTCGGTAATGCATTCCGTTTGATTAGATCAAAAGTTTTTGATTAGATATACAAAATTTGATAAAATTAGTTTTTGGGTAATAGTAACACTAAATAGCTATTTTTTTGGTTTTTTTTTTAATTTTGGTGGTTGCAAATGAAATTTTTGTAAAAGAAAGTTATCACAAAAATACTACATTTTGAAAATTTGTTTCCAAACATAACACAAACTAGATTCTCACCCGCACTTTGTGCGGAAACATTCGTTATATATGTTGTAAACTCTACTTAGCTTTCGTATTGTGTCATATATAATATGTTCTAAGATTAGATATGTATGGTTTTAGTTTGTAAGTAGAATCGATTAGTTTGAAAAAGTATGTTGGTTGTTTTCTAACTTGAAGATAGAGAGTAGGTAGAGAGTAAGTATGTTTTGTATTGTGCATGTACATATGTCTATCGTATTGTTAATAAAGAAGTTGATCTTGAGAAAGATAAGTTTATGAAAAGACTATTATTATATGGTAAAAAACAAATATATAAATTGAAGAAAAATCTCGAAGAAAACATTTTGCAGATTTAATTTCATAGGTTATTATTATGTGCAGATTTAGTTTCATAGGTTCGAACACAATGTATTGTATGAAGAAAGGTGCAGCATTAGGCCCACCTACATCATTTATTCCAATATTCATTTATAAAAGTTATATTCACTTTGTCGTCTGGATATGTGATTCCTCCCTCTTATAACATTCATTATATCTTGGAGGCATCAGCTATGATCCGACGGTTGAGGGCAACCGCAGCCTTGGAACCGTTGGGACGGCCGAGGTGCTTGCTGATGAATCTCCAGCAGCTATAAGCTTTCCCAAGTCGACGTTTGTTTGGGTGCCTAAACCGTTGAGCATGTAAACAACATCTTCTGTGGCTACATTCCCTGAAGCTCCTTTTGCATCTGGGCAGCCGCCTAATCCAGCAATTGATGAGTCTACTATGTTTATTCCCATCTGTTACATTTTTTTTACCAAAACTTGTCAGACCCATATTGAAAGGTATATATAGTCAAGTCTTCTTCTTTTCGTCGACTTACTTGGAGAGACACCAATATGTTTGCAAGCGCTTGCCCGTACGTGTCATGGAAGTGAACATCCAGCTTTTCTGCGGGCACAATTGCCATCACGGCTTCAAGCATGGGAACCACATAACCTAATTTATAACAACATCAGTTGTACGTAAAACTACTTTTCTTATTCAATTCACTAACACAGAGAGAACTGATTAATGAGAGACTCTCAACTCTCAACCTAAGGTGCAGCTAAACAATCTTCCGAGTTCTCATAAACCCAGCCCTTACTAACTGCTCTCTAACCAACTCACGATGACAGCTCTACATGGCTGCATTCAGTCCTAGCCTAGGTAGTAGACTTATAGCTAACAGTTGAGCTGCTAAACGTCTTCATAGTTTATCACTACTAATAATATATACACACACATACAAGTGCACATGCAAAATCGAATAAAATAAGCATGATATGCAGTAAAGAAATTATCAGGAGTGCCAATTCCAATTGTATCACCTAGAGAAATCTCAAAGCAGCCCATGTCATAGAGTTCTTTCACAACATAAGTCACTTTTGAGGGTGGAACGGCTCCCTCCACTGGACACCCCACAACGCAAGATACATACCTTCAACATTGGGAAAATAATTAGAACCAACTGTTTCTGCTATAATATGAGAGTGAAAATTTGCATAAAAGGTTGATTCTACCACAAACACTCAATGGGTCCATAATATGATACATTAAACCAGAACTGAACTAATTGGAATAAGCTTGATATTGAATGAAGTTCGGACAAGGAAAATTGTTTATGGGTCCATTCCATATTATCATTAACCCAGAACTGAGATAAACATCTCACCTTTCTAAAAGTCCATGTCATAGAGGCCCTAGGATAAGATTAACACACTTGAATTAAAAAAATTCCAAATATGATGCACCGGTCACTCAAATTTTTTTTCCATCTCAGATTTAAATTAGGCATTGTTTGGACAGCGAGAAACCATGTACAAACAACTGGGTTTTAGAACATAAAGATGTTTCTCCCACCAGCAGAGAAGTACGGAAAACTTGATTGGGCAAACAGTTACACTATATTCCCGTAAAATTATTTATAGGTGCCATCTAAGGGGAACATATAATGTACAGAAGCAAGACAAAGCAAAATAAACGTACCCGCGGATGGGAACCGAATGCTCCTTTGCAGCAGTGGCAACAGCACGATATCTCAAGAGACTCTCTTCAATGGTACAGTTGATATTTGACAAAGAGAATGACTCAGAAGGCGATGCAAAGATTGCAACGTCCTTAGCACCTGCAGATACAACCGCTTCAAAGCCCTAAAACAAAGAAAGCACCTATGTTGGTGTGTTCAAAAGTAAGAAACCAAGAATTCTTTGGAGAGCCTTAAGAGATGAATGATACACACTTTTAGATTCGGTGTAAGAACCGGCACTCTAGCCCCATCTAGCGTGCTTATTGCATCCATTACATCCTTTGCATCTGCAAGCTACAAGGCGATATAGTATATATTTATTTTCAGTCAAAATACGTAAGCATCCATTACATATATTGTTTCTATAATCTAATGGTACCATACTTCCTCTACACAATCATAAACTTGGAAAATGACTGTCTCCGTTGTTTGCCTATCAGGGCAATTTGAAATACTGATAAAGTAAACAGAATTTTGCTTTTATAAGAAAA